CCGAGCGGCCCGGGCTTTGTGCGGGCGGCCGCCCCGCTCGGGACAGGAGCCGCTGAAGTTGGCCCTCCTCGCCCGCTGCCCCTGCCAGGGCCCCTCGGGGCGCCCGGACGCCCCCCGCATCCCTCCCGGCCCGCTCCGTTCTCCCAGGTAAGTCCGGCGCCCTGCAGGCTGGTGGGCGCGGGCGGAAGGCCCTGCCCGGCCCGTGCCTGCGGTGCCCGCCGGCCGGGAGAGGTGCCCCGGCGCCCGAGGCCAGGCTGCACGCTGCTGACCTGCGGCCGGCCCCGAGGGGAGAGGGCCTGGCCTGGTCCGTGGTTACCATGGGAATGCCCAGCTGGAGGTGCCCCCTGCGCCCCGCGCGCAGCTTCCGCCCTGAGCAAACTTTGCTGGTCCGTCCGGGCCGTCTCCGCACCCGCGTCCCAAAGACTGCCAGGTGGCCCGGAGAGGGGCGTCCCAGCCCAGGCTGATGACACGGCCCTTTCACCGCCACCCCCACCTTGCGCCCTCTGTCCCTGCTGCTGGGGACAGGCAGCCACGGGGACAGATGGTCTGGGTGATGGCCCTCCCCTTCTGTTCTCACTCCCAGCCCCTTGTGCTGGGGCTCCTGGGAGTCGCTGTGACTCCAGGGAGATGCGGAGCGTGTGTGCGTCCATTCACTGGAGGTGTAAATAGAGGTCGCAGAGCCTTGGGCTTTAGTTCCTCTGAACTGTCCGCCAGGCTGAGACAATGCCTGTCCTTTCTGTAGACAGGAACAGGTCTTAAGACTTTTCAGAACTGGAGAGGAACCCAGGTGTCCTGCTTCCTTTGTCCTCGGGTTCTTGAATTGACACGTTGTTTCAAGAGGACTGAACCCCAGCAGGCGGGGCTCGGTCAGCCTTTGTGGAAGTAATGAGGGTCGGTCCTGAGAGTCTAGACCCTTAGGGCTGCTGTCCAGGCCTGGCCGCCGGTGGCTGGCCTTCCTGGGCCTGTGTGTGGAGGAGGGTGACCTGGGGCTGGCCAGGGACTGTCTCTGCCCTGAGACCCAGGTTCATCGCGCCTGGCGTGGGAATGCAGCGCGTGCTGTGTGGCAGTGGCGTGAGGCCTGCACCAGCGCACAGGCACTCTGGTCCTGCCTGGGGCGGCAGGGCTCCGGCACTCCGCAGGCGTGTTGGGGCAAGCGGAGGTGGAAGCCTGCTAGGCAGGGCTAGGTGCACACACGTGTGCAGGCAGACACAAGTGTTCACCCTTGACACCTTCAGGGACTTGAGGTCTGGGCCCCACTGGGACCTTCTTTTGCCCACGTTGTGAGAAGGGGCCCCTGGAGAGAGAATTAAATGACGCATGTTGGCACAGGGTCTTCCTTTGTCTCCTCCCCTCAAGGACCAAAATAGGCTTTTAAAAAGTCTAAATTGGGGAGAGGACTCAGATACAGTCAGTACAGCTGCCTTTGCAGTCAAGTTTTAGGGACCTGAGAAAGGGAGTGACTGGGGGGCTGTGCCTCAGTCTCCCCTCCTAGTGGAGAGGGCAGGCATAAAGTTGCATGGGCACCTAGTTCCTGTCCAGCTGTGCGTTTCTCCCGGGTAGGAGAGAGTGTGTCCGACCCTGGGAGAGCGGGGAGAGGGGCTGGGCATGCGCATGCCCGGACTTACAGCCGACTCCTCTGCCTGGCTGCCAGGTGTCTCCTGGGCTAGGCCCGCAGCCCCTAGGCTCCTTCTCGGCCCCTGTGTTCCATCCGTAAGCAGTGGGAGCCGGTGCGGGCTCCACCCTCTCTTTCTGCTGGGAGTCTCAAGAGAGAAGGGCTCAGGGTTTGAGTTTCTGGTTTGGAGACAATGCTCTCCCTATGGTGGGTGTGGCTGGGGGTTGGGCTGATAAGGCCGTGGCCGTTGGTGGAGGAGGCAGAAGGTCCAACTGGTTATCTGGTGGGTGGTGCCCAACACCCCCCTTATCTCTGTCTCCCCTGCCCTTCTGAGACCCTGGGGTGGAGGAGGGGAGGAGTTCCCCAAGTCCCCCATTTTTCACTTGTACCCTGGCCTTTATAAGGTAATAAAGGAGTCAGAGAGAAATAGTACAGGATATGGGCATGGGGATGTCTGGACTGAAGTCGTAACTCTGCCAGTTATGGTGATCTTGGTGAGTCCTTTCAGCCCTAAGTTGGCTTCATCTGTGAAGTGGGAGCAGTGCTGTACACTCTGGTACCTGACAGGATGGTTGTGTGCCTGACAAAAGAAAGCTAGATAAAAAGGGAATCCATAAAAACGGTTCTTTCGATATTTATTCTATGATGTTGCCATTTCGGTTCCTTTTCTGTTATCCAGGGCTCAGCCCCATAGAAAGTAGGGTCTTCAGTGTGCTCCGCTCCTGTTTCCCTCATTAAATGAGACTGGAGCTGGATTTAGCCGCAGCCCACACGCTCCCTGGCCCACACGCTCTCCTCAGCATGGCAGGGAGCTCCTGGGGATCAGTCCCGGTCCGTGTAGTCCACAGGCTTCCAGAGAGCTCCAGAGAGGGACTTGGGGGACTCTTCTCTTCTCTCTTCCAGGTTGTTCCTCAAAGTCATTCAAGCTGTACTCGCCGAAGGAGCCTCCAAACGGCAACGCCTTCCCCCCGTTCCATCCCGGCACCATGCTGGATCGGGATGTGGGGTGAGTCCTCGCCTGCTTCCTCACCCTTCAGACGGGAGGCTGTCTGGGAAGGAGAGGGAATGACCCCCGTAATTCCTGTCATCCCCCCCCCCCATGCTCATAGCTTCTTCCCTTACACAGCCCAACTCCCATGTACCCGCCTACCTACCTGGAGCCTGGGATTGGGTAAGTAGAGTCCAGGCGGGAGGGAAGAGCATGGCCCTACGTCCGTGAAGGTGGAAGTCGAGCCTGGGCGCTCGGCCCTGCCCCTACCGTCCGCTCTGCTTTCCCAGGAGGCACACACCATATGGCAACCAGACTGACTATCGGATATTTGAGCTGAACAAACGGCTTCAGAACTGGACAGAGGTATGGCCAAGGGAAGAGAGGCTAGGAAGGGGAGGCCGCCCGGGAAGCCCGTGGGGTGTCCTAGGACACACACGCACCTTCCCTGTCCCCCTAGGAGTGTGACAATCTCTGGTGGGATGCGTTCACCACAGAGTTCTTTGAGGATGACGCCATGTTGACCATCACCTTCTGCCTGGAGGATGGACCAAAGAGATACAGTGAGTGAGGCCCTGCCTTTGGAAGGCCAGAGTATCTTCCCTGTGGTGCTCTGTGGTCCGGACACTGGTCTAGAATTGCCAACCAGCAGATCCGTCTCGGCAGGGGAGGCCTCTGTCTGGCCCTGTCTTGGTTTTTTCGGAACTGAAGAGTGTATCCTGTCCCCGCAGCCATTGGCCGGACCCTGATTCCACGCTACTTCCGAAGCATTTTTGAGGGAGGTGCTACAGAGCTGTATTATGTGCTTAAGCACCCCAAGGAGGCATTCCACAGCAACTTCGTGTCCCTCGACTGTGACCAGGGCAGCATGGTGACCCAGCATGGGAAACCCATGTTCACCCAGGTCAGCCACCCAGCAGACGTGGAGCAGGGGGTGCCTGAGCTTCGTTCTCTCCCCCAGCGTGTACTCGCAGCTCACCCCAGGGACCCCCGATGGGAAATGGCAACAATAAGAGGAGAAGGCAGACACCGTGCAGTATTTAGGAAACATCTATTGGGTTTAAAAACAATAGTTTTCTGTGTCCCAAGTTGTACAGTGAGCAAGAACCTGATCTCATAGAGCTCACGGCAGATGGTATCACTGGCTACATGGGAAAGGACACGGATCTGTTAACGCTTCTTTGTTCTGTGTGTCCGCATGTGTGTAAGGGCCTGGAATGACAGATACGTGGGGTGGTGCTACGTTAGTTAGGTGCCCAGATGTACGTGCAGGTAGCAGAAGTACGTGCAGTGGGAGAGTTGTGAGCAAACCGGAGAACTACAGCAGGTGGCAGGCACACCTTAGCTATGTGGGGAGGGGGCGGGGTTGTGACAAGCCTGTCCCCAGGTGTGTGTGGAGGGCCGGCTGTACCTGGAGTTCATGTTTGATGACATGATGCGGATAAAGACGTGGCACTTCAGCATCCGGCAGCACCGAGAGCTCATCCCCCGGAGCATCCTTGCCATGCATGTGAGCTGTGGGCATACTTGGGGTGCAGAGGGAGGCGGGCAAGGACAGGGTGGGGCACTAGCCCCCCCCCCCGATGCAGGAGGAGGGCGCGGCTGTCTTCACCGCGTCTGTCTCCTCTCGGCGTCGCGGTGCTCGGCTGACAGGGCCGGTAAGCACAGGGTGTTAGTGTTCTTTCTGTCCCCTGCAGGCCCAGGACCCGCAGATGCTGGATCAGCTTTCCAAAAATATCACCCGGTGTGGGCTGTCCAATTCTACTCTCAACTACCTCCGAGTGAGTCTCCGGTCGCCCATTCCATCGCCGTGCCCCTTGCTCTCAGTGCACGTCTCCCTGACGGCCCCCTCCTGCTCTGCCCCCAGCTGTGTGTGATCCTCGAGCCCATGCAGGAGCTCATGTCCCGCCACAAGACCTACAGCCTCAGCCCCCGAGACTGCCTCAAGACCTGCCTTTTCCAGAAGTGGCAGCGCATGGTGGCGCCCCCCGGTGAGTGAGACTCCTCAGGGTTGGGGCTGGCTCGCTTAGTGAAGGGTTCTCTGCTCCTTTCTGCTCCTGGGTCTGTGACGGGACAGAGCAGGTTTGCTCTGAGAGGCTAGCGTAGGAGACGTGGCCCCAGGGCGTTCTCCCCATGTGGGTCTTCTCTCCCTGCGCAGCGGAACCCACACGGCAGCAGCCCAGCAAGCGGCGGAAACGGAAGATGTCGGGGGGCAGCACCATGAGCTCCGGGGGTGGCAACACCAACAACAGCAACAGCAAGAAGAAGAGCCCAGCCAGCACCTTCGCCCTCTCCAGCCAGGTACCTGTAAGCATCTCGGCTTTCTTCTCTCTTCTGGGCTGCCCTACCACTCACCCCTGACCCTTGTCTGGCCTGAGCTCCTTAGCAAGCGTAGGAAGAAGCGAGGACAGTTTTCCGTGTGTACGCTTTCTGGATGAGCTCTGTCCTGCTGGGCTGAGAGGACCCTGGGTAGGCACACACTCAGCCGTAGGGACGTAGAGCATCCAGGGCCAGACAGCCATGAGAACAGACAGACATTCAGGCCCAGCAGCTCAGGGCACGCTCCCTCAAAAACATGCCCCCTCGCATTGCTAGAGGGATGCACAGACTCCACGGCTTGCAGATTTGTGGCACATACAGGTGCACATGCACGTTTCCCCCTGTTTTTGAGCTGCTCCCTTTCTACCATGTGGACGGAAGGCTAGGAGTCCCCCAAAGCTGGGAAAGGTGGACTGGAGAGCTAGAGGAGTAGATGGGAGTTGCTCCCTGGACTCTGACGAATGTGGGCTGCAGGCCATGGTGCTCCGGCGTCCTTCAGTGGGAAGGACTGCGGGAGCAGAGGGTGTTGGAAGAGCTGGGTTCCACAGGAGCAGTGGGGGAGTGGGTAGCGTTGTTTCCAGGGTGGGTATGGGGGCTCTGGGGCTACCTGCTGTCCTGGGTTGGGCGAGCCCCTGCCCCGATTATGTTTGGGGACCTCCACCACTCTCAGGATGTGATGGTGGTGGGGGAGCCCACCCTGATGGGCGGGGAGTTCGGGGACGAGGACGAGAGGCTCATCACCCGGCTGGAGAACACGCAGTTTGACGCGGCCAACGGCATTGACGACGAGGACAGCTTTAACAACTCCCCTGCACTGGGCGCCAACAGCCCCTGGAACAGCAAGCCCCCGTCCAGCCAGGAAAGCAAATCGGAGAACCCCACGTCACAGGCCTCCCAGTAGAGGCCTGTCACGGCCACCCAGTGCTCTGCCCACCCCCTGCAGCCCTCGGGAGCAGAAGACATGAGACTGAGCGTCTACAGTGGGCAATCTGTCCACCCACTTCAGGGAGGAGCTGGACTCGCTGGGGGCAGGTGCCAGGATTTGCCCCCCAGTGGCCCCAACTGGGCCTGGCCCCTGTGGAGCCTTTGGGAGGAGGGGGTTCTCATGTGGATGCCTGTGTGGGCTCTGGGCCTCAGAGGTGTCCTGGCCACCGCCACCCAGGGCGTTGCTTCCACCCTCATCCCAGGTCCTGGGTCTCCCCCTCCTGGCTTGCCCTTTAAGCCCGAGGTTGTCTGCACCCACAGTCCGGAGGGTCTTGGGGCTGGGTTGAATGTCCCTCCCCCTGGACAGCTGGTGAGCGAGGGGCAAAGCTCTGGACTCCTCCTCCCCTCTGCCACTTGTCCCAGCTCCCAAGTTTTTAAAAAAATAATATTATTAAAAATGTAAGTTTAAAAAAATCACTCATGGTTCCCCTCTTGCCCCTGTTAAGTCCAGCTACCTCCCTCCTGGCAGATGGGGGTCCAGGGCCCGGGTGGGGGTGAGAGCCGGTGAGGTGTATGCATACTGTTTTATAAAGTTGGAGAGCTTTAGACCAAGGAGATACTTCGCCATCTCTCTTCCCTTTTCCTCTGGAGTTGGGGAGGGCTTGCCATGGGTGGGGGTGAGGGTCCCATCTTTGTGACGCACCCCCCCTTGTCTCTGCCTCCCCTGCAGCCCCACCCTCCAGGACCCTGGCCTGGCCTCGGAGCGCTTATGACTCCCTGACTCCCTGTGTCCCTCCCTGCGGGGTGTGTGTGTTCGAACCCTCTGGCAGCAGTTGATGTGGAGAGGGGGAGGCAGGCACCCTCGCTGAGGGAGTGCAGAGGAAAGGGAGTGGCCTTGTGTGTCGCCCTGCTGTTTGTTTTGTCTCAGTTGGGCAGGCATGGATGGGAGAGGGGCTTATCTGCCCTCCTCTACAACCCTCTGCCCCTAGCCCCTCGAACTGCAGATCAGGCCCTAACCACCCCTCCACGAGGGGAAGCAGCCACTGGAGCCACCCTTGTTCCAGGCCCCCCAGGGGGAGAGGCCTCTGTCCCCAGCTGAGGTAGAGGGTCTTCATGTCCCGTACCCATGCCCTCGGCAGGGAGAAGACGACTGGCACCTCTGCTCTGTCTCACAGTTGGACTCGGAGGCCTAGGGCAGGGGAGCCCCGGAGCAGAGGGTCCCTGCTGCCTTTTCCTGTGGCCACTCAGGAAGTGTCAGCGCCACTACTGCCTCCTCTCCCTCTGGGCCGTGGGGTCCCCTGTACCCTGCTTACCCGCTCCAGCGGCTGCTCTGGGGAGGGAACTGTCGGGAGCAGAGGGAGGGGTGAGGAAGGTTCATGTCCCACCCCAATTGTAATGCTTTTTTTTTTTTTTTTTTTTTTTGGCCATTTGAGTCATGTATGGTACTGATCAATAAAGAGACTTTTTGGTTTGAGAGCGTCCTGCTTGGTCAGTGAAGCCTAGTTTAAACCAGTCTTTTCCTGTCCCTGGGACGGGTTAAATGGGACTCAGATTTCCCTCCCGGCTCACATTGCCCCTTCCGAGTCATGCCAGCCCTTCATTTGGACCCCAGAGTTTGTCCCCAGCTGTCCTGCCTTTCCCCGGAGTCGGCCCTCCCCACTCCTACCCCCTGGCCATCCACCCGCAGCTGTTAGGTTGCCAGAGGGGTCCTGCAGGCGGGTTCCTGCGCAGACCCCTGCAGGGCTGGGGGGAGGTCGCACTGGAGGGGAGGGGTCGCGCTGGAGGGGCCTGGGCCGAGGTGCAGCGCCCCCTGCCCCTACCCGGCCCCAGCCCGCGGAGCTCTTAAACGTCTTCGGATGAGCAGGTTTGCCTCCTGCGGACTGCGAGGACACTGAGGGCTGAGGAACCTGCACTTGGGGAGGTGGCGGTTAGGGCCCTCTGCAGACTCCCAGTAGCTCGTCTCCCTGCGTCCCTCTACCCTTGGGAGCCCGTTGCCAGGACACAGCTGCCTGTGGGTGTGGGGTCTGAGCATGCAGAAAGTCCCTGACCCACTGTCCCCCATGTCCACTGGACCACTCCCTCACTGACTCTGATAAGACCCGCACCTCCCCCTCTCCTGGCCTCCCCAGCTGGTGGCGGATGCGGGAGGGAGGACGGCTCCTCCCCAGCCCTCGGGGAGCCTCCCACTGCACAGCAGCCCTGGGCCCCAAGGACAGCTCGTGCACCCTGCGCCACGCTCAGCATCCCCGCCTGGCAGCCCCTTGCCCCGCCTGTGGTGGGCCCACGTCCGGCACGGGGCGCACATCTGGCTTTCTTTGCCAGAGTGCATGTATGCGCGAGTGCTGACTGGGAGAAGGCCTGGATGTGTGTGAGGGTGGCGAGGGAGCGCAGACATTGTCGGGGAGACTGCGCATGCGGGTGTGTAAGGGAGTATGTGTTGGGTCTGTGCGTATGAGTGTAAAGGAAGGCCCGTGTGGCCGTGGGGGGGTGAGGGTGTGTACACGTGTGAGGGAGCGTGTGATGGTGTGCACAGGCACGTGTGTCTGTGGATGAGGTCCTTCACTCAGTATTCTCCGGGCCTCTAAGTCCAGCAGTGGTGGGAAAGGACACAGGGACATGTGCTGCGCGTGTGGAGTGGCCCAGCATGCATGGTGATGTATTAGGTGCAGGGTGCTGGCCCCGGGGACACTGGTGTGCCGGGGTCGGGTGTTCTACGTGTACATCTTAGAGGGGTGGCGAGAAAGATCGCCAGGCCCAGACCTACCCTGCTGGAGGCAGAGTGCTGGGCTGGATGCACCCTACTGTTGGCACGCAGGAAGTGCAGTGGCCAGCAACTTCCTCCGGAGCCCCAGAGCCGGCTCCTCCTCTTTCCCCCAGCCGCTGCCTGGGGCAAGCCCTGCGGACAGGAACTGCCGGGGACAGGCCAGGAGCCTGCCGGGGCCCTCATGTCTTCTGTTCTGAGGTGAAGGCCTGGGTCCAGCCCCCGGCCCTGCGTGCTGTGAAAGACTTGCCTCCGCCTGACTCTGGACCCCAGCCGGGGCCCCGGAACCTGCAGAGGCCTGGGCTGTGCGCCCAGCTGGTACCTCTGCCCCCTCCATGGCCGCCAGTTCCGCCTGACCCATCTCCTTCCATTTCCTAATCCTCTGCTCTAATCTAGCCCTTTCCTAGGGCCTTTGTCTAGTCCTGCACAACCTCCAGCTCCTTTAGCCCAGCCTTTCTCTTTTCTCTTTTCTTTCTTCTTTCCTGCCTTCTTCCTCCCTCCCTCCCTGTTTCCTTCTTTCTCTCTTTTGATTTTTTTTGTTTGTTTTTTGTTTTTATTCCGGTTCTGGGAATCGAACTCACGACCTCGTGGTTGCCAGGCAGGCACTGTGCTGCTGAGCTAAATTCCCAGCCCCTCTTTCTCTCTTTTGAAATGGGGTCTCACTATATAGTCCAGCCTGGCCTTGAACTCGCTATGTAGCACAGGCTGGCCTTGGATCACTCACAGTGACCCGCCTGCCTCAGCCTCCCGAGGGCTGGGATTACAGGCGTGCACCTCTGTGGCCAGCTTCCAGCTCACTTTGCCACTCCTTCCAAGGGGGCCTCGGCCAGCCGACCTGGCGCCGTGCAGCCTGTGCTCAAGCCTCTCTCCCTGGAAGACCCTCAGCAACCCCCAGGCCTCCCAGGGCCCTCTTTCAGGGGCCCCACTGCACCCTGGGGACTGCAGAAGCAGAGCAAAGTGAGGAGCAGGGGTCTGCAGAGTGGAGGGTGCAGAGGGCAGGGAGAGGGCACCAGCAGGCTGAGGGTGGTGGGAGCAAAGGCAGATGTGCCGAAAGGAGTTCTGAGTCAGCAGGCTCCAGTTCCAGACCAGTTTTGGGGTTGTTTGGTTTGGTTTGGTTTGCTCTGGTTTTCTTGGTATCGGAAATTGAACTCAGGACCTTGCACTTGCCAGGCAGATGCTGTGCCACTGAGTTTGTTTTTTGAGATAGGATCTCCCTTTGTGATTCAGCCTGGTCTAACTCATAGGCAGTCCTGCCTCAGCCTCCCAAGTGCTGGGATTATAGGCATGTGCACCACACCTGGCAGCCCAGATTTTTTTTTTTTTTTTTTTTTTTTTTTGAGACGGAGTCTCGCTGTGCAGTTCAGGCTGGCCTTGAGCTCACTTTGTAGCCCAGGTTGGTCTCGAACTCGCAATGATCTGATCCTCCTGCCTCAGCTTCTCCAGTGCTGGGGTTACAGGCATGCGCTACCACGCCTTGCGGTTTTCTGGTTTTTGTTTTTTTGTAGTTTTTTTGGCATGCCAGATTTTAAAGGTTGGCTTTTCCCCTACTGGACCCACTTTCCAAGACCCATAGTGTTAACATTGTCCGTGACTGTCACCGCTGTGCCACACCCTCATTTTCTCAGTCCCCGCTAGGGCTCCTGCCAACCCGCCTACTACCGTGGGAACAGGAAATGAGTGGCATGCACCCCGCAGTTCTCAGCCAAGTGGGAACGGTCCCTCAGGAGCCTTCTCTGGCCTGAAGAGAAATCACCTGCCCACAGACTCCAGGGCCTTTTCCCAAGCTAGTAACCTGGGCCGCTCCCCTCCCTGCGCGGATTCCCCGGAGGAACCTGCAGAGGAGCCCCATGTGGGGAGTGAGTGTGGCTTGCAGGGGAGATCAGCTTCCTGCCTGTCCCTCCCTGCTAAGGGCGCTCAGGTACACAGAACTGGACTGACCCACTGTAACCTTGGCTTATGGCCCCACACGTGTGCCTTTATTTACCTGTAATACTGTTAGTGGGATTTGTCACCGAGAAACTAGGACCTGGCCACACGTCCACTCCCACCCTAACCCAAGATACCTCTCATTCCTGCTTTCCTCTTGTATATTCATCTTCTGTCTGTGTTCTAAACAATCATGAAAATTTTTAAATTCTAGGTTTTTTCCCCCTTATGATAAGGGAGCACTACCAGGTGGACTTGAGGTGATTTATTGTTATACTCACTATGGTATTTCTTTTTCTTTTCTTTTTTTTGGTCATTTGGGATAGTGTCTTACTATGCAATTTAGGCTGGCCTTGAGCTCACTTTGTAGCCCAGGCTGGTCTGGAACTTGCAGTGATCCTCCTGCCTCAGCCTCCCAAGCACTGAGATTATAGCTGTGCACTACCACGCCCAGCCACAGCCCTTTTTATTTTGAGATAAGTTCTGGATAAATCACTAAGTTGCCCAGACTAGACTCAAAGTTGCAATCCTTCTGCCTCAGCCTCCCAGGGTGCTGGGAGTACAGGTTTGTGTCACTGTGCCTTGAACTCACCGCAATCCTCCTGCCTCAGTCTACCGAGTGCTGGGATTACAGGTGCATACCACCACACCCAGGAAGTTTAATTTTATAGAAAGGCAGAAAAAGTCCAAAAGTTCTTCCTGTGGGCTGGGGATTTAGCTCAGTGGCACAGCGCCTGCCTGGCAAGCGCAAGGTCGTGAGTTCGATTCCTAGTACCCGGAAAAAAAAAAAAAAAAAAAGGAAAAATAAAGAAATAAATAAATACATAAAAAGTTCTTCCTGTTCAATTTTTTTCTTTTTTCCTGGTACCGGGAATCGAACTCACAACCTTGGGCTTTCCAGGCAGGCACTGTGCCACTGAGCTAAATC